AGAAAACTAAAGGGACCTATGAGTTAGGTTGAGGACAGAAACACTGAAACAGACAACAAACCTACCTCACACTCAGTGACTTGGTTAAATTTTTAAAAATGACTTAATCTAATCAAAATAAAACCTATCTACATATGATAGAGCAAATTTAAACCAACAATTTAAAATTAATTTTTTTTTATTTTTTAATTTTTATTAGTGAAACACTATGAGTTACAGTTGTAGACTTACAAATTTTTGTGCTTGGGTTTTAGTTAGACAATGATCAAGTACCCATCCCTCCACCAGTGACCATTTTCCACCACCAATTATAAAATTAAATCACTTAAATAACTATAAAATAGAAAAATGTACCCATATTTCTAGATAAGGAAGGACTTTTTAAAATTTAATACCATTGAAAACACAACCATGGAAAAGACAAATGATGTGAGCAAGTTTCAAGAAATGAATATTTCAAAAATTTCCATAAGCAATATTAATAGCGAATGTGGAACTAATGTTTATAGGTGATACCTCAAAATGTGGGCTGGAGCGATAGCACAGCGGGTAGGGCCTTTGCCTTGCACGCAGCCAACATGGCCGACCCGAGTTGAGTTCAATTCCTCCGCCCCTCTCGGAGAGCCCGGCAAGCTACCTAGAGTATCTCGTCCACACGGTAAAGCCTGGCAAGTTACCCGTGATGTATTCGATATTCCAAACACAGTAACAACAAAGTCTTATGATGGAGATGTTACTGGGCCCGCTTGAGAAAATCATGAATAACGGGAGGACAGTGACAGTGACCTCAAAATGTTGATATTCTTTAATTATAAAGTCTTTAAACTATTCAATTAAAAGTATAATAATTAACAAAGAGCTGAATTTGAAGCTTAATGCACATAAAATGCAAATGGTCCATATACAGGTGAGAGAAATACTGACTAATCAGCAATAAAGAAAACAAAAATTCCCTTTGAAAACTGCTATGTTAGTAAAAACTTTAGTGATGGAAATAAAGAATTTTAACTATTCAGGGCACTATAGCATATTACCTTTGATACATACTGGCAGGATTGTAAATCAGTAGAAACTTTCTGAAGGACGTTGACAGTACATAATAGATAATTTTTAAATGTTAAAAATCTAGAGATTAGGAGAGATAGCACAGTTTTGAGGAGCTTTCCTTACAGCCTATTGAGCCCCGTTCAATATACATATGAACCCCAAGGGCTGATAGCACAGCAGGTACGGCATTTGCTTTGCATGCAGCGAACCTGAGTTTGATTCCTGTGTCGCTTTCGAAAAGCCTGTCAAGCTACCGAGAGTATCCTGCCGGCACAGCAGAGCCGAGCAAGCTCCCCTTGCTGTATTCGATATACCAAATACAGTAACAACAAGTCTCACAGTAGAGACATTACTGGTGCCTGTTCAAGCAAATCGATGAACAATGGGAGGATAGTGCTACAGTGCTACCACAAACACTGTCAGATGTTACTCCTAAGCAGTCAGGAATAGCCTCTGGGCACAACTGGATGTCGCTCAATTTCTTCCTCCCTCATAAAATAAAAATGTCAAAAGTCTAAAGTATTGATTCCTAGTCGAAGCATTAGAAAGCATCTAAGCATTCCTAGTCTAAGCATAATCAGATAGCAATCTAAAATGTAAATGAAGAATTGTGACTTCAGAAGCTCATCATAACATCACTTTCAATTATGAAAAATTAAGATATTTCAAATACCTACAAGTTGGAAATTGAACACATGTTAGTATACTAAGTGACATAAAATTCACCAAGTAAATTATGTTTATGAAGAATAGTAGTGTGAAACATATTTTGTTTAATTTTATAATTAAAATTATATGTAAAAATGGAAGATAAAAATTTTTAAGTTTTAACATTACAGCATAAATTCGCCTTATTTAACAATGGAAAAAATAATATTTATCCATTTTATGGATTCTAAAGCTGTTATTATTAGAAAACTACAAAAATATCAAAATGTTAAAAATAGAATTGTTAAAAATAAATGAGAGCAAGAGGCAGAATCTAGACCTGGGAATTTATTTGTAATCTTTTTACTTATAATTTGAAGGACCTAATAATATTTTACAGGAAAATAATAATCTAATTATCACTTGATAGCAATTTCTAAATACACATATTTTTCTGCCAATTAACAGAAAAAATTGATTTCTCTACCTTAATTTTCAAATCACTCAATTTCATTCAAATCTATCTTTTGTCACCACAACAAATCTTGTTTTCTCAAATTGCAAAGAGGTATATGTATTTTTTTCTTCATGGGGTCATATGAGCAAGAGTGTATTCTGTTGACTGTTTATTGGGACCTAAAATTGGACCTTCTACATTATCATATACATATAAAGTAAATTTGCAAACATGAATAGAGTGTGTACATATTCATAAAACTGTTGGATGTTTCTCTGGCAGGATACCTCCCTATGTATAGTGATCAAAGACATCATCAAATCCTTTCTTTCTTCATGGTGTTTTCTCCACCTGTTCAGTGACATAATGTCTTCACTTTAAATAGGGCATGTTATTTAAAATACAAGCATCTCTGTAAAGGTTATAACAAAGATTAAGATTTTGATACAGCCGAAGAGAAGGGCCACATGGAGGGCAGGATCCACAGCTCCCGGAGGAAAAAAAAAAAACAGGTTCCAAAAAGAGCCGAGATCATCGGGAAGTCCCAGATGGGGTAGGTACCGCATCCCGCCTCCCCCAGATGGAACCCCGGTGACCAGAAGCCTCTACAAGCACAGCTCGAGTATGCGGGAACTAGGACTTTTCCTCAAAACCGCGCGACATCTCTCTATATACAAAGTGATCCATGGGAAGTAAACCACCCAATGTTTCTCCCTGAAAATCAGAGTTAAGTTTGGAGCACGGCCACAGCCCCAGAAACACAAGGACTTAATGCAGAACCCAGCAGGGTGGAGCAGAAAAGTGAACGGACTATGCGTTAATCCAGGCCATCATGTCTGTCCAGAGGGGAAAGGGTGTTGCCCCATTCGCCCTCTCTTCTCTGGAAAGAAGGATGGCGGCCGCATGGGAGCCTTGTGGACAGCAGGTATGAGCCGGGGGTGTGGGAGCGACTAAAACCTCATGGGAAGGGGGGCGTTCCGGTCCGTCCTTCACGCCCTACTGAGGTCACCAGTTGCCCCCCACGAGCGGCTCTCCAGCACGGCCACAGCCCCAGAAGCACAAGGACTTAATGCAGAACCCAGCAGCTTGGAGCAGAAAAGTGAACGGACTATGCATTAATCCAGGCCATCATGTCTGCCCGGAGGGGAAAGGGTGTTGCCCCATTTGCCCTCTCCTCTCTGGAAAGAAGGATGGCGGCCGCATGGGAGTGTTGTGGACAGCAGGTATGAGCCGGAGGTGTGGGGGCGACTAAAACCTCATGGGAAGGGGGGCGTTCCGGTCTGTCCTTCACGCCCTACTGAGGTCACCAGTTGCCCCCCACGAGCGGCTCTCCAGCACGGCCACAGCCCCTGAAGCACAAGGACTTAATGCAGAACCTGGCAGCTTGGTGCAGAAAAGTGAACGGACTATGCATTAATCCAGGCCATCATGTCTGTCCGGAGGGGAAAGGGTGTTGCCCCATTCGCCCTCTCCTCTCTAGAAAGAAAGATGGTGGCCACATGGGAGCCTTGTGGACAGCAGGTATGAGCCGGGGGACTGGGGGCGACTAAAACCTCATGGGAAGGGGGGCGTTTCGGTCCGCCCTTCACGCCCTACCGAGGCCACCAGTTGCCCCCCACGAGCGGCTCTCCAGCACGGCCACGACTCCAGAGCACAGAAACCAATTTCTTAACTATCTGACTTTCAGTAGAAATGCTTCCAGGGTCAATAAGTAAAATAGCAGAAATCCAAAACCAACATTTAATTATTGAACCCAGCTGTAGAAAGCAAATCACTTCACAATGTTTTTTCAGCATGTCTGATTTGGGGGGGGGTAAACTCTAAATAATAGTGGTGAATCTTTTATTGAAACAATGAATCTAATCAAAGCAGATAGAGTGTTAACTAGAATTCATCTGCCTCACAGGGACTGGGAGGGGTGGGGGTGGGGTTTTATTGGGGTTCTTCATGGTAAAAAATAAGTATTGGTAAAGGGAAATGTGTTTGATATTTGCATGACTGAGACCTAAACCTGAAAGCGTTGTAACCTTTCCCACAGCGATTCAATAAATAATAAAAAAAAAAAGATTTCAAAAAGGTTGTTAACTGACAATATTTTCTGAGAATAGATTTTGAGATGTGGATATTCTAAAAAGGGGAAAACTGAGACTGACTTTCTAAAGAGAAATGGGTATCTAGATGCGGGAAAATGTCAGACACAGAAGATAGACAAAGACTGAATAAGATTGGATTTCTTTAAAAACAAAACAACAACAAAAATACCATTTGGTCTGGGAGGTAGCCCTAAGGCCCAGGTGCATACTTTGCATACAGAAGTACTGGGTTCTATCCTGACACCCTGTAGTGCCCTGAGAGTAACACCTGTGTACTGCTCAGGAAGTAGCCTCAGAGCACCATCAGGTTCAATCCAAAGAAGATGAATAAAAACAAAAATTAATAATGAAAGCACACCAGTTGTTTTAACATTCTGGAAAAGATTGAGTAGGAAGTGATAAAAAGTGGAGGAAAATTTGACTCTAGTCCTGTAACTAGAGCATATACTAATTTCTTCTCAAAGCATAATTATAAGTGCCTCTAAGGCAGAAGATAATAGACATAGCTTCAAAATTCTTAGCTATATTGAATATTAAAGCTTTAAAAAATTCTAAGTCATCTGGTTTTCCATCACTGTGTTTTGAAAGCAAGAAATCAACTTGTAAAACAATAGTCTTTACCCAATGTCCCAAAGCTATTAAGATTACTCTGAAAATTAGTTTCAGAGCCTTGTAGTAGGAGGTAGTTCCCACTTCTAAAAAGCACAATGTAGAACAATTTTTATAGAGTATTCCTAAAAATAACTGTTACATACCATTACGTTTACTTGGTCAGAAGTACTTTGGATTTTCCCGTTTATTTTTTTGCCTGAAAATAAAAAAGGATGATGTAACATTATTTTTATTATTTTTCTTCCTAAATCAGTTCTAAATAGTAATTAAGCAGATAACAACTGCTTCTTTTAAAAATATTTCAGACATTGATTCTAATTGCTTGCATAAAGTAAACATAGAAAGAAAGCCCAGGAGTCTATGAAATGTTTATGCCCCCACTTCAACTTGACCCAAAATTTCAAAACATGAAACACTGAATATACCACTAATTTATAGTTTTGGACTAAGTGGCATTTGTAGATCAGGGATTTATTTATAATACCTCAATCATCAGTGACATATTATATATTACTTCACTTGTCAAATAAAATACTTTTATTACTTTTATTATTTTATTACTTGTTAAAATACTTTTAAATCTCAATATTCAATAAATTCTGCTCATATTTGTATTTTCTCAAGTAATTGTGTATTCACTCATATAACTATTTACATAATTTAAAAAATAATGATTAGAGGAAAAATTACCAAAAGTTTTCTGAAATCATTCTAGGTACTTACTTCCAACAATAGTCTTGTGATTGAAAATTTTACTCCAAATTCCACCTTCTACATTATCTTTTACTCCAAATTCATAAACTGTATTGGGCTTTAGGTTATCCACAATTGTTTCAGTGGCTGGACACAGTTGAAAAACCCATTTCTTTTCCTTATCCTTTTCTCGATAGCGAATTGTATAAAATCTGTTGAATAAAGATTTAAAATCAAGGAAATTCAGATATTATTTCGTTTCCTTAGTTAATAACAGACTCCAATATACTCCAAATATTATATTTAATATTTTCTTAATCAGATTTTATAAAACAAATTTAGATAGCCAACTGCGTAGTTATTTGCTAAAATCTCTAGAATATTAGCAAAAAACATAGGACAGGTAATTTAAGAGGACAAGAAACAATATAGAGAAAATGGACATTAAAGTGATATTAAAATATTTTTAAACTTTCCAAAAACCCTATACATAGAAAAATAATATATTTCCTCATTAGAGATGAGAAAGTCAATATTCAGAAAAGTTAAATGTTTTATCTACGATCTATATACATAGGGAATAAAAATCACAAATATCCCTCTGCCCTCTCAGAAAAACTAAGTCATATTTCATTCTTTTACTTTAAACTGATTTGAATGCATTTTAACTCTGAAGTATAAATCTTTGATTTGGCTACCTTATGATTTAATTTTGGTAAATTGTTTTTGTTTTGGAGGGTTGTTTTGGACATATCTGGCAATACTTAAGGCTGATGTCCCCTGATTGTTGGGTTTAGGATTGAACTAGGCCTTCCAGCATGCTAAGCAAGTATATTCGTAGATATCTCCCCATACTCAGGTATTTTGCTTTAAATAAAGGTATGAATTTTCCTTCTATGTATTGCTGTTTAGCAATCAATCAAACTTAACTGAACATAAAGTTGGGTTACATTAAATAATGATGCAGCTACTGAAGAAATATTAGCATCACCTTGTTTTGTCCATTAGAAGCTAAGTAGAATACCAACTAATTAGTCCCTATCTTCTTCACAGTGTCCTCCTGGCACTATTCTACTGAAAAGCAAAGTTATAGATATAGACTGATCTCTTTCATATGTGGATTATAAAGATACACAGCAAGGTAGCAACAAAGGTCAAAAGATCAAACAACAGGAGAACTGATCCCACACAATTGAGTTGGGGAGGTTGGGAAGGAGAGGTTTTTGGTTTCTTGGAACAATAGATGTATCTTAAAACTCTGGTAGAAGGAAGGGAAAAGCAGCATTGCTGCTATAAAACAATTTCAAAACTATTTTAAACTATGATAACTTGATAAAATTATAAAAAAATTTCTTCTAGTATTGAGAAAAGTAGGAAAATAGTTTGAGGTTAAAGTGCTGACCATCATTACTCATGCTTTTCATGAAAATTTTCCATGGACAACTAAAAACACTTTGGAAACTTTGGAACTGGGTCAAGGTCAGAGGTTCAGCCCTGGAAGTCATTTACTTCATTGCCATATTACCATTATCTAGAAAATTAGCAAAAGCAACTCCTGGAATCTTGTAGAGATGCAGAATATCACTCTTTCCCTCAGGCCTATGGAATCAGAGTCTGCATTTTATCAAGCTTTTCCACATGATTCTTAGGCATGTTGAAGTTTGAAAAGCACTGTTCTACATGCTGGTGGTAGTTAAAAACCTGGAACAGATGAGGAGGAGGGAACAAAGAAGAGAAACCCGAGGACAGAGCTCCCTTTCTTATTTGGGACATGGGGTAAGCAAAGAAGAAAAGAGGATAGGAGGAAAGTCTAAATGTTGAAAAAAGAGCATAAGGATGGCCAACAAGCTCACAGAGAGGTCAGGAAGACTAAACCTGAGAAAAGTTTACTAGAGCTAATTCATTCATCATTATGAAAAGAAAAAGGCAAGAACAAAGACTTATAGCATATAGGAAGGAAGAGGGTCAGATCATAACTGCCTGAAGTCAGGAATGTACTCTTTGGGAAGAAGTGAAGAGGGATAAAGATAAATTTGGTGTGAATAAAGACTGAACCGATAGTAGTTTCCTTTAGTATTTCAGAAGGCAAACGAATTAAGGTAGGAAAAGAACATGGCAACATAGCCAAAATGCTGTTCCCAAGATTGTGGGTAAGGTAAGGAGTGCCTGAATTGGAATCACTGGCACAGAAATAGGGATATAGAAAATAAGGATACTTGTATGTGTTCTTCTTCACCGAATCACTGTATCACCGTCATCCCGTTGTTCATCGATTTACTCTAGTGGGCGCCAGTAACATCTCCATTTGTCCCAGCCCTGAGATTTTAGCAGTATCTCCTTACTTGTCTTTCCCAACGCTGCCGTATTGGAGGCTCTTTCAGGGTCAGGGGAATGAGACCTGTTATTGTTACTGTTTTGGGCATATCAAATATGCCACAGGTAGCTTGCGAGGCTCTGTGTTCTTCTTAAATGTAATATTTATGTGTATATATATAACTATTTATGAGATTAAAAATGGATAAAATGTCATTAGAGTGAATAGAAGATTTATGGTATTTGAAAAGGTAATGGAGTAAAGTGATACATAAAGAAAGAGTTTAGGACTGGAGAAATAGTACAGCAGGTAGGAGGCTTGCACGCAGCCAATTGGACTCAACCCTGGGCACATCATATGGTCCCCTTAGCCCAGCAGGAGTGATATCTGAGCATAGAGCCAGGAGTAAACCCTGATCACCATCAGGTTTGACCCAAAAGCCTCCTCCCCAATTCCAATAACTGTCAAAAGAGGAGAAGAGATGAGCGAACACCTCCACAAAGAAGACATATGAATGACTAGTAAGCATAAGAAAAAGTATTCATCGTCCCTTAAAAAGTATTCACCGTCCTTATATCAAGAAGATGCAGATAGAAACAACAGTGAACTATTACCTCAGTCAAGAGAGATGGCATATGTCAAATAAACTGGAAATAACCAGTGCTTGAGGAGGATGTGTGAGTAAAGAATGCCCAGTCACTGTTGGTGGGAATGTCATCTAGCTCAGTGTCTATGGAAGGCAAACTTCTTCAAAGAGAACAGAACTCTTGTATGACACAAGGATCACATATCTTGGTATATGACCCAAACATAAAAACATAAGCTAGAAAAGATACATGCATTTCTGTGTTCACTGAAGGGCTCAGTTGAATATCCAGGATGTGGAAATACCCTTGCACGTGGCCAAAGCTGCCAACCCGAGTTCGATTCCTCCGCCCCCTCTCGGAGAGCCCCACATGCTACAGAGAGTATCTCGCCCGCATGGCAAAGCCTGACAAGCTAACCATGATGTATTCGATATGCCAAACACAGTAACAACAAGTCTCACAATGGAGACGTTACTGGGTCCACTTGAGCAAATCGATGAACAATAGGAGGATAGTTCTACAGTGCTACAGTAGATAAAGAAATTGTATATATATACACAATGGACAAGTATTCAACTATAAAGCACTGTCCTCTCATTGTTCATCGATTTGCTTGAGCAGGCACCAGAAACGTCTCACAACAAATTGTGAGACTTGTTGTTACTATTTTTGGCATATCGAGTATGTCACAGGTAGCTTGCGAGGCTTTGCCGTCTGGGTGAGATACTCTTGGAAGCTTGCTGGGCTCTCCGAGATGGGCAGAGGAATCGGACACAGGTCTGCCATGTCGTCCGCATGCAAGGCAAACGCCATACCCGCTGTGCTATCGCTCCAGCCCTGATTAAACCATGCAGTTCACAATTGGAGGATATCATATTGTCAGAGAGAGAAAAAATACTGGATGATCTCACTCATCCGTGGAATACAGAGAAACAAGGAAAAATACAGTACTGAACAATTACAAACACTTGACCTTTGATTACATAACATTAACAAACAGTAGGGGACAGAAAAGATCACTCTTGTGTGAAGTAGAACATTGGTGGAGGATCATAGTAGTGATTTGGTACAGTAATTTTATATATTGGTAGTATAAATTCTATTTGTGATGTATTCAATATGCCAAACACAGTAAAAACAAGTCTCAAAATAGAGATGTTACTGGGCCCACTCAAGCAAATCAATGAGCAACAGGAGGACAGTGCTAAATTCTAACACTATTATAACAACTTAAAATAAAAATTAAAAAGTTGAGGGTATAAAAAATAACATCAAGAGCCTGTTCTAAACCAGCCGGAAAAAGGGTTCTTGTTCTACATTAAAAGCAAATAATTACAGCAGAGAAGTTTAAAAAAAATGACTTCTAAACAAATCATAAAGTTTTATTTAATACATTGGCAAAGGAGTGTAAATTAAAGCAAGACTGAATGTTTTAACAAGTTGGAAACATGGGAAGGAAAAAAAAGCTATTAATGTTGAAATAAATTTTAGTTAAAAACATGTTTTACTATGCATCCAGGCCAATTTGGAAAGCTTTTTTTTAACCTCGTATAATCGAGGTTATAATTCAATATAAATTGAAGACAAATGTGTACATTCTTTCACTGAAAAGGCACTCATAATAAAAATTACAGATTGGGCTTCTCCATTCTCCCATGTAAACTCAGAAAATAATTTTAAAATATTAGAGACTTATATAAACCCAATACAGACTGGAACAGAAACATGTACCACAAAGGTATTTGATAAAGTTCATTAATATTTCCTGACTTACATAAAAAGCAAAACATAAATAAGGATGTATCACTTGCAACTACTACATGAGAATTTTTTGAAAGACTGAAAGTTCTAAGGCAAAAGATAAACATTTCCCCAATAAATTATATTTGCAGTGCATAAATAAATCTATATAAATTCAAATAAAATAAGTTTTAAAATCATAGACTTAATAGAGGTGTCAAATATTCAGTTTACCAGATTGAAACAATTCATTTGATATTGTCATTGTAAATCAAGGATTTTGTATTGTAATATTTTTTCTGAATGATATTCCTGAAGGCAGACTTGAAGTATATTAACTTTTCAAATTAAAAAAACTAATTATCTAGTAGAACAATTATTGCTTATTCTAACTTACTCAATCTAATTATAAGAATATAAATGTATCATTACATGAGGATATAGTTCTCCAAATATGCTTCCAATTATACCAATTTAGAGTTCTAGCAGAGTTATTTGGGTGCTTATTTGGGTGTACACTATTTCTAGAGCTTTTAAACAAGAACTACTATTTTTTTACCCTTCAAGCAGC